ACAGGAGAGGCCCAAAGGTGATGGGCAGGGCAGGGCAGGCCAGGTTGTTATCTGTCAATGACACACATGTTTATTGATTCAGCAAATAGCTGCTGAGTGCCCGTTTATGCCAGACCCTGGAGATAATGAGGCCCACTGGATCCAATCTTGCCCTTACATTCTAGTGAGAGACACACCCAAATAAACCAGTAAGCCGCAAGGAATTCCAGCTAACATTGTGACAAAGAAAACTAAAGCAAGCGGCCGGGCTCAGTGGCTCACATCTGTAATCCCAACACTGGGCGGCTGAGGCAGGCAGATCACCTGAGGTTGGGAGTTTGAGCCCAGCCTGACGAACATGGAGAAACCTAAAAATACAAAATTAGCTGGGTGTGGTGGCATATGCCTATAGTCCCAGATACTTGGGAGGCTGAGGCAGGAGAATCACTTGAACCCGGGAGGCAGAGAGTGTGATCATGCCATTGCACTCCAGCCTGGGCAACAGGAGCAAAACTCCGTCTCAAAAAAAAGAAAAAGAAAAGAAAAGAAGACCAAAGCTATGAAGATGGTAGAGAATGATGGTGGGGGGAGTGTTTTTAGACACAGTGGTCTCTGAGGAGCTGATGATAGTACAGAAACATAAAATATGTGAAGCGGAGAGCCTTGCCAAGATTTGGGGTGTGAGCATTCTAGGCAGAAGGAACAGCCAGGCATTGCGGTCCTGAGTCAGGGGCCAGCCCCATGTGGCTGAGCGAGCCTGTGCAGGCAAAGAGGACTGCGGGCAGGTTCTCAGTGAGATGGGACCATTGGGGGACCCTGGGCAGGAATGTGAGGTATGGGGAGTGGGCCAGAGTGGGTGTGAGTGGAAGTGGAGAGGCCAACGAGGGGGCTGCTGCCCTGAGTAACTGCCTCACAAGGGCTTCACTGGAACCACAAAAGTGGGCACTGTCAGAGGTACTTGAACTAAGAGAGCCTGACTTTCATTAGCTCACCCCTGAGGCTGGCACTGCTGCTCAGTCTCTTCCTATTTCTGTGTACATCATCTCATTTAACCTTGAAGTAGCCACACTTTCTCTGGATCTTCCATTCAAAGTTGGAGATAAACTCAGTGCCCTGGAGTTTAATTTTTTAGAAGTAGATGAAAAACAAGCTTGATGATGATATTTTTTAACAGCTTTATTGAGATTTAATTTATATAACATACAGTTCACCCATTTAAAATGTACAGTTCACCTGGGCGCAGTGGCTCATCCCTGTAATCCTAGAACCTTTTGGGAGGCTGAGGTGGGTGGATTACCTGAGGTCAGGAGTTCAAGACCAGCCTCGCCAACATGCTCCTCCATCTCTACTAAAAATACAAAATTAGCCAGGCATGGTGGCAGGCACTTGTAATTCCAGCTACTCAGGAGGCTGGGACAGAAGAATCGCTTGAACCCAGGAGACGGAGGTTGCAGTGAGCTGAGATTGCACCATTGCACTCCAGCCTGGGCAACAAGAGCAAAACTCTGTCTCAAAAAAAAAAGGTACAATTCAGTCAGGTATGGTAGCTCGTGCCTGTAATCGCAGCACTTTGGGAGGCTGAGGTGGGTGGATCACAAGTTCAAGACCAACCTGACCAACATGGTGAAACCCCATCTTTTCTAAAAATACAAAAAAAAAAAAAAAAAAAAAAAATTAGCCAGGCGTGGTGGCATGCACCTGTAATCCCAGCTACTCAGGAGGCTGAGGCAGGAGAATCTTGAACCTGGGAGGTGGAGGTTTCAGTGAGCTGAGGTTGTGCCAATGCACTCTAGCCTGGGCAACAGAGCAAGACTCTGTTTCAAAAAGAAAAAAAGGACAATTCAATGGCATTATAGTTATGCAGTCATCACTACAATACATTTTCGAATATTTTCATGACGTGCCCTGCCCTGCAAAAAGACCCCATATCCTTAGCAGTCATTCTGAATTCTTCCCTCCTGCTGCTCCTGGCAATGACTAGTCCACTGTCTGTCTCTATTTGCCTCTCCTGGACATGTTGTAGCTATGGAATCACACAGTATGTGATCCTTTGTGCCTGGCTTATTTCACTTAGTATAATATCGTCAAGGTTCATCCATGTTGTAGCATAGATCAGCACTTAGTTTTTTTTTTTTTTTTTTTAGCAGCCTTTAGTCTTCATGCTTCATTCTTTTTTAAAGCTGAGTAATATTCCATTGCATGGATAGACCACATTTTACTTATCTGTTCGTCAGTTGGTAGACCTTAGGATTGTTCCCACTTTTTGGTTGTTATTGCTGCTATGAACATTTGGGTACAAGTTTTTGTGTGGGAAGATGCTGTCATTTCTCTTGCTCTGTACCTAGGAGTAGAATTACCAGGTCATCAGGCAACTATGTTTAACCCTTTGGGGAACTGCCAGACTGTTTTCCAAAGCAGCTATACCATTTTACATGATGATGATATTTTAATTGACATCTTAATTGAAGGATTTAGAAAACAACATTAAGATAAAAAAGAAGGTGGCTGCCTGGAGCTGAGGTGGGCTCCCGGTGTGGGGCTGGGGAGGTGGAGCAGTGGGAGACTGCCAGTCTTCTTACTGGCTGGGTGAGAAGACAGAGCAAGTCCCAGGTCATTGTTAGGGCAGGGAACCAGGGAATCACCAGTTCCAGGCTCTGCGTGGCAGTGCCCAGCCAAGGGGCCAGCTGAGATTCAGACTGCACTCCCCACCCCAGCTGCACACCCAGGTAGCTGTGGGGAGGCAAAGGAGGTGCCTGGCATTGGCCTTTACATAGCCTCACAGTCACTGAGCAGTGAGGAATAATGTATCCAGTTCACAGAGGGGAAAACTGGGCTTTGGGGAGAAGGAAGTGCATGGGGAACCTGGTTTCTGACTCCAAATTAGAGAGCTGCTGGTGTCAGGGCAGCACCAGGCCAAGACCTGAGTCAGAATCAGGGCTGAGCTGATTTCGTGTGTGTCTGTGTGTGTTTCTTATCTGACCGATGCCTCTCTCCTCCCAGCCCCAGGCCATTTACTGCAAGGATGTTCTGGACATTGAGCAGTTCTCCACCGTCAAGGGCGTGGAGCTGGAGCCCACTGACCAGGACTTCTACCAGAAGTTTGCCACAGGCAGTGTGCCCATCCCCTGGCAGAACGAGGTGGGGCCTGCCCTGCTGGTGGGGTGGGCTCTATGAGGCTGCCCTGGGGACAGCTCTCACAGCTGCCTGCTCCTCAGCAGATGGTGGAGACGGAGTGCTTCCAGGAACTGAATGTCTTTGGGCTGGATGGCTCAGTTCCCCCAGACCTGGACTGGAAGGGCCAGCCACCTGCACCCCCTAAAAAGGGACTGCTGCAGAGACTCTTCAGTCGCCAAGTAAGCCCCGGCAGTGGCCTACCTCGGGCTCCCAGCCTGGCTCCAGGGGACGGTGGGTGAGAGGCAGAGCTGGTGCCGGCATACGCTGGGAATGGGCATCCTCCAGCTCTGTTGTGGTGCCCAGGGTCTCTGGCCTCATTCCCACCTGTCCCCCACCCCTGGCTGGGCTCATGGCCTCTTTTCTCTTTCCAGAGGTGAGCAGTGTGGGCTCCCCGTGGGTTGGCCTTGCTGCCTGGCCTCGGGGAGCCACAGGCAGCCCTTCCATGGCAGAGGCAAGATGTGGGAGAAAGAAGTCTGGTGCCCACCCCACTCCCCTTGCCCACTGCTTCAGTTCCCTGCACCCTGCCCCCTTCGAGCTGCCAGCTTTGCTTAGCTTGTCCTCCCATGCCCTGTCTCTGCCAGCCCCAGGGGAGAGGGCTGGGCAGAGGCCTTGCCCTGGTAGACCGTGGGATCTACCCAGACCCCATACTTCAGTCTGTTGCCAGCAGCCTCTGCTATGGCACCCACCCACTTGTGGCTTCTCTGCCTCTCTCCCTCCCTCCGTGTCTTCCCCGTCCCTGCAGGATTGCTGTGGAAACTGCAGCGACAGTGAGGAAGAACTCCCCACCCGCCTCTAGCCCCGAGCCTGAGGCCCCCACCGGCAGTTGGCGGTAGCAGCTACTCCAAGCGCTGTTCAGTTTTGCACAGTGGTCTTCCCCATTGTCCACTCAAGTCGTGGCCTGGGGAACACAGACGGAACTGTCCCCAGTGTCCTCCACCCCTCAGCCCCTGGCCTGGCTGAGTGTGGCAAGGCCTGGGCTGTCCCTGGGACAAAGGTGCATCCCTTCGGCTCTTCACCGTGGAGCTCGGGGCTTTCTGTATTTATGTATTTGTATGAATGTATATAGCGACCCGAGTGTTCTTAATTCCCACTGCAGACCTGGCGCCCCTGCCTTGGCTCCTGGGGGCAGCCAGCCCTGGCTGGGAGAGTGGGAGCTGGCAGAGGAGCCACTGCCAAACTCAAGGCTCCTCCGTCCCAGTTTGGACAGCTGAGGGTGGTCACAGCCCTGAGCCCTCGGCACTGTGCTGGGCCACCCTCCTGCACCTCCCCAGCCTCTGAGTAAGACCCATGCCTGCCCCTGCTGCCCTGGGCTCAGGCTGCTACCCTGTGGGGCCCAAAGCTGTCCCTTCTCAGTGCTTATAAGAGCTGGATCTGGGGCCTCTATCCTGTAGGCCTGTGCCAAAGTGGCCAGAGATTGGGCTGGCTGTGAGACCCATCAGTCCACTGCCCCAGCCAGCCCAGATAGGTCTGCCTCTGCCTTCCAGCTTCCAGGGCCTGGTCCCTGATGCCAGGCCCTGTCCTGAAGACACCTCTTTCAGAAACGCCTGAGCCCAGCCCTTAGGAGAGGGTGGGGCATCCCTGGAAAACCCTCAAACATTCCGGACTCCCCTCATAACAATAGACACATGTGCCCAGCAATAATCCGCCCCTTCCTGTGTGCGCCTGTGGGGTGTGTGTGCATGTGTGTGTACCTGTGTGGGTGAAGGGGATAGGGTGAGGCTGTGCCTGTGCCCCAGGCCCCAGCCCTGGCCCTTCCCAGACTGTGATGGCCATCCTAGTCCCAGTGTTAGGGTAGCATGGGATTATAGGACCCTGTGTTTTCCATATTTAAAGCCAATTTTTATTATTCATTTTGTCCAATGTAAGCTGCCACGTGTCTCTGTGAATACAGTCCGAGCACAAACTTGGCCAGCCGCCCCTGCCTGCCTCTTTCTTGCTTCCAGTGCTCCAGGGATCTTTCCACTCCTCTGGCCCAGTTGGAAGCGGGAAGGGATTGGAGGTGGGCTTGGAGGGAGGAAGGATGTGCCCTTCTGAGACCCAGGAGCCCCTAGGGCTGACTCTGAGGTAGCCTCTCCAGGCAGCCAGGCTTTGGTAGCCTTTGGGCTCACCCAGTGGGTTTCCCAACTTCCTAAATGGGATGGGGCCTAAGGAAAGAAGCCTTGGGTGCCCCCTGGGGTGTGGGTCTGTTTCTGAGTGTGCTGGTAAGATGGACCCTGCTGGTGTCCTGCCCTCCAAGGCTGAGGTGGCCTGGCTACCTAAATGTGGACTTAGAGCAGCTCGGGAACAGGGTGGAGCTGTGTAAGGAACACCTGCCCCAGGCCTGCCTTACCTGGATGCCAGCCTTGAACAGCAAACACCTAGACTGTGGGTGATGCTGGCAGGTAGGGTGTGGCTGGTAGGAGAAGGTTCTCTGAAGACAGTAGTTGAGCTGGCCTCAAAGTGGACATTCACCTGGGAGGAAGGGGGACTGGGAAGCACTTCAGGGGAGCTTCCTGCATGGGCGATGGGGCTGAAAGCTTGTTGCCCACAAGTCTGTCCAGATCTTGGAACCCCATCACTGCTTTATAGAGTCCCAGTGTCCCCAGCCCCCTAAGAATGCCCCATAACCCCTTTGGACTGAGCACCCAGTGCTGCAGGAGCCACAAGAGCTTTGTAGCTGACAGCTCCAGGTTCAAGCCCCAGCCTGACCACTTTTCAATTTAGCTCTGCACAGGCCCTTCCCATGTATGGAAAGATAGGTGTGAGACCCATTGCCTTGCCCAGCAGCTGTGAGAATCCACCGAAGCAGCCAGTCAGCCCCTTGAGCTCCCAAGCCACCACAGGACTCACCTGCTGGGGAGACTGTGGTGCTGAGTGACTAACCAGCTGGCTTAAGCACAGCCAGAAGGTGCCCAGCAGCAGCCTGGCAGAAGGGGCCTTTATGTGACACCATTCGGGACATAGGGAGTGCCTGCTGCTTCCCATCAACCTAAGGGAAGTAAGAGGAGGAGGGATTTGCTCAAGGTCTTCCCACTAACTAGTTAAGTGGCCATTGCAGAGTGGGGAGGAAGCCAGGTAAAATGGAAAAGCCGGATCCTACCCATGTGACATGCGAATGGAGCCTGGGTGGGTTTGCCCCTCTGTCCCAGGCTGTTTTGAGGTGGGAGTGGGGGATTTTTAGGTAGGTGTTAGCATGCCAGACCAAAGCCCAGCCCTGGGCAGGTATGCAAGAGTGAGTAGGTGCCAGGTGGGTGTGCAGGACCCTGAGGCACTCTGTCAGCACCTGGATCCGGTCGCCCTGGCCACGCTCCCCCTTGGGCTAGGGAGCATCCTGGGAACTTCCTGGCTAGGGTTAAACTCACCTTAAAGCTCTTACCACAGTGGGTCCTTGGCAGAGGGAACTTCCAGAATTCATTTCCCAGGAAGCTTCCCTGAGCTTTCCTCTGTGCCCAGCTCTGTGGTGGGAGCTGGGACCCAGATGGAGACGAGGCCCCTGGCAGCTTGGAGCCCAGCCTGGTAGGGAGGCAGACGTGGGAACAGCGAAACCCAGTGTGATCGGCACTGTGGAAGAGAAGATTCTAGAGCTGATAGGGTTGGGGGTGGGGCAGCACCAAACATGAGGCCCCTTGACAGTGAAGGTATCTGTTGGTGCCCTCCAGGACACAGGGACTGTTGCGCCCAAGTAGAGCCAAATGGATGGTCTAGGGCTTTAGTGGTTTAGGATGGCTAAGGATGGGAGGCCAGGGGTGGAAGCAAGGAGTGACTGGAGCTGAGGTTGGAGTTGAGGTCGGCGAGACACAGCCAGCTTTGAAAGTTGGGTTAAGATGATGGGGCTAAGGCCCACATGGGGCCTCATCTGGAAGGTAGGGGATTCCCTGAAGAGTTTTGACTGGTTGTATTGGGGTGTTTGCTCCGGCATCTACAAAAGCACCCCCGGTCTCTGTCCCTGTGGTTTGGATGGGACTGCGCTTCCACCCCCTGCATATGCATACTCCACACATATACCTAGAGTGAGAACCAGGTGGCAGAACTGTCCTCCCGTTAACTTAGAAGGTGTTCAGAGGATATGGAGGAGCTCCAGGGTCTTAGTTATGGACCCCATTCTCATCAGGGCACACCCACCAGAAGCAAGATGCTAGAGCCATTTGGTTTTGCATGCTTGAGCTCAGTTGCAAACCCAAGGAGTCAGTGGCCAGGCTGGATACTTGGCCACTGTGCACTGAGGGAGCAGTGCATTTGGGTTCACAGGCTCACAAGGATGGCACCCATAGGGCAATGATTCCTCTGATGAAATCAGGGTGCCTGTATACAAGGAGAAGGGAATGGATACTGGAAGAGCATTCCCTTTGGCCATAAGGAATACATATCCTCTCCTTTAACTCATAGGCACTTAGATTTGTTCACCAATAGAGACTCAGCCTAAATGAGTCCAAAAACAATCATTTGTGGAGTTGTTTGCTTGTTTTTTGCTCAAATGATGGGGAAGCAATTGGGGTTCTCTTTCCCCCAGGGACAGATGGCAGGATATGAGCCTAGGGCTATGGGAGTTGTCCTTGATACCTCTTGGGGTGAGTTTGCCTGAGACTGATGCAAACAGAAGCAGGTACGTACCTGATGCCACGGCAGGAATACCTGGAAGCAACTATGACCAAAGCTAGAATCTCTACCCTGGGACTTGCCAGTTACATGAGCTAGTCCCCTTTGAGCTCAAACCTTTTTTCTTTCTTTCTTTGTTTTTTGGAGACAGGGTCTCACTCCATTCCTTAGGCTGGAATGCAGTGGTATGATCTTGGCTCACTGCAACCTCTGCCTCCCGGGTTCAAGCAGTTCTCCACAGGCATGTGCCATCATGCCCGGCTAATTTTTTTTTTGGTAGATGTGGTGTACAGCTCAAACCTATTTGAGGGTTCTGTCACTTGCAACCCCAAATGTGCCAGCTGATGTGGTGGAGGGTGTTTTTGGAAAACACCTTAAGTGCAGTGGAGAAGTTGGACGAAAAATAGCCCAATTAAAAGGCGGATGGACAGCCAGGTTCAGAATGGCCTCTGCAAGCTTGGACCTCGGGGTAGACAGTGGGGCCCTCTCTAGGGGTCATCTGTTCCCTAGGGGAAGGCATGTCCACAGAGGCCAGGGCTGTGGATTCGGCACTAGGTCCTCCTTCCCCTGCTGCTTGCTAGTAGGCATGTGGTGGTGTACGCCTGCTGGGCACCTAACAGAAGGGGTCGTGAGTTGAGAGAGAGCCACATTGGGGTGCCTGCCTGCCCCGGGGCCCTGCCCACTGCGTGTGCGCAGCCCCTGTCAGGATGTGACGGGGGCCTGGACGTGTGTGTGCTCTCGAAGCTGAGCTGTGTGCACGTCGGGGTTCTCGACCTTAGCTGCCTGGCTGGGCATCCAGCGTGCATGACCGGTGTGGCCGGGGCTCCAGCCCGGCGTGTGCACTGGATCTGCCGGCACGTGCCTCCCTGTGAGGGTGCCCTGGCGGGTGTGAGCCCGGTGGGCTGGAGAGAGTCGGGGCTCGGCGCCGCAGGTGGGTGTCCGTCCTCCCCCTCCTTCCCTCCGGGGGCAGCCTACTCGCGGCGTGTGGCGGGGGATGGGGGGCCCTCTGCCGGCCGCCGCGCGCGCGCACGCCGGGCTCAGCACCCGCCGTGTACGCGCCCGTGCGCGCGCCCCGTGCCTCCAGCCCAGCGCTCGGAGCCGCTTTCGCTGCCACTGTCTGCTCCCACGGGCCGCCGCCGCCGCCTCCTCCCCGCGCAGGCCCGGGGCTCTGTCCGCTGGGCCCGCGCCACTCGCCCCGAGCCAGGAGAACGAGCTCGAGGAGGATGCCTGGGCGCGTGAGTACCGCGGCGGCTGCGGGCCGGGCGGGCACTGAGCGCGGGCGGAAGATGGTCCCAGGACTGAGCCCTTCCCCGCGGGCAGCTCTGCGCCCTGGCCCCGGGTCGCCGCCCCGGACCCCAGCCTGTGCCGCAGGCAGCCCCTCCCCCAGCCCACACCGGAGGGAGGGAGAGCTCCAGTGAGCTAGGGAGCCGGAGCGGGGCGCGAGCCGCCACCAGTTCGCTTGGAAACGGTTGCCACAGCAACGGGGTTGCGCTCCCCGGCAACACGACTGCGGGGCGGCGACGCCCCCTCCCCCTTTCCCTTCCCCCCACGCGTGCCCGCAGCTCGGGGGCGCAGGGGGAGACGGGTGCGCGGCGGGGGTACGTCGCCCCTCTGGCCCGGCTGGGTGTGCCTGCCTCCACAGCCCGTCGAGGATGGGGGTGGGGGCGAGTGGCCGTGGGCACGGGCTGGCTCCCACGTGGCTGCAGTCGTCGCAGCAGGGTTCCTGGGATGGCTGCAGACCTGGGGGTGGCCCAGCCCTTGGGCTTGTCACGGGAGGAGGAGGCACTGGAGGCTGGGGCTGGGGTCTCTGACCATAGACCCCCACCCACCCACCCAACCACTACCAACAACAACACCCAGGGCCTAACTGCGCCAGCCCTGGACATGGCCTGAGCTGAGTTGGGTTCCCCCAGGGGCGATGTTTCTTACCAGGGGAGAGGAGCGAAGCTTGCATCCCTCCTCCTCCTCACAGCCAGGGCATGTGCCACACCGGGCAGGGGCCCGCGGTGAGTCTCTGCTCCACGTTTCTAGCCACCATTCTCCAGGGAGGGGTGGAAGCAGAGTGGGCAGGAGCAGAGGAAAGGACATTGCTAACCCAGGGAAGCTGAAGCCCAGGCCAAATGGGAGCGACCCAGCCCATTGTCTGGATCACAAGTGCCCCTTTCTTGTCTGAGCACAATGCCCCAACTGTACTGAGTGGCTTGCAGGTTGGCCGGCAGGGAGGCCCGGGCCACATGGAGGTGCCCGGTCCTCCAGGGGAGCTCCTCTGGCGCTCAGAGGAAATGACCTCTGGCTCCCCTCCCAACCTCCCCTCAGTGGGCATCATGCTGGAGAGAGAAATGGCCCTCCTGCCAGCTCTCCCAGGCCTGACTCAGCAGATGCCAGCCACGACCACGGGCTTCAGATCCAGCATCCCAGCGACCACAACCACCCTTGGGTTTCCTTTCCCGTCCGGGGAGGCATACTAGAGGTGACTGGCATCTGAGGCATTTGAGGCCTTGGCATAAGATGCCCTTAGATGGGTGGTGCCCTGGAGGTCAGGCCTGAGTCTCCTGCAGGCAGGCGTACTCACAGGTGCTTTTCATTCCCTTCCTGCTCTGTGGGACCTGTGTTGAGCACTCTGCCTCCATTATCTCCTAATTTTTTACAACAATTGCAGAAGGTAAGTTTATTTTCCCTATTTGAGAGGTGAAGACTCTAAAGGGAGGCTCAGGGAGGTGAGTGACTTGCCCAAGGTCACACTACCCATAAGTGGCAGAGCTGAGTCTACAGTGCAGACTTCTCTGTGGGCAAGGCCCCTCTGCCTGCTAACTTCTCTTGTAACCCAGGCAGAAAAGAACCGTAGAGCCTTCAAGAAGAGCATTCTTAACCTTCCTTCACTTTCATCTAGTGAGGACATTCCCTTTCACGTCTTGGTACATTTTTTTTGCTTCCAGCAAAATCAGCCAAATTCTTTCTCCCTCAGATGGAATAGGACAGGGCTAGCTTTCTCCGTCCCTTCTTCACTTCCTCCCTCCTCCATTTTCTCCCCTTGGGTGAGACCAACCAGCAAAAGGCTGCCTCAGTCCCCTGGGAATCCCCCAACCCCTGGTCCTCGGCTCATGGGCTCCATGGCCTGCTCAGCTTGCAGTCTTGGCTGTGGGAGAGAAAATTTAGCGAAGCTGGGCCCATGCAGTGCTGCAGCCTGTGGGTGCTCTGTCTAGCTCCAGGCACTGGAAACCCAAACACTTCCAGTATCAGGGGGCAATGGAATGAGTGAGGTGGGCCAGGGAACCACTCAGCTCCAATCTTTGTCACCGTGTGAAATGTGGACTTGGTATGACCTGACTGTCCAATTTTCAAGATGAGCAGAAATCCAGACCTTTATATACAATCTCCTGGATTTTTAAATGTTGGCAATTAATCAGAGTGTTTTTAAAAATTGATTGTGAAAATGGATTGTTTTTAAAATATGTCCGTGAACTGTGTCCAACCTAAGGGTCCTGTGTCGGAGACCTCTGATCCATGGAGGTGACGGCAGTTTTTGCTGGGCCGCCTCCAGGCTGTGTACAGTGTAGCGCCATGGGCTGCTTTCTGCATTTGAGCTTCTTGAGGCTGCAGGGTGATCCCTCATTAGAGGGAGTTCTGTTCTCCCCTTGGCACCCTTGTCCTACTGCTGAAGAAACTTCAACTCAGATATGGGAGTAGCCAGAATGGGATCACATGGCTCAGTGAGGGCAGAAGCCACATTTGAACTCAGGGCTATCCCCTGGCACTCTGCTTGTTACCCAGGCTGCCCCACACCAGGGTATCACTGTCATCCCCCTGTGCCTACCTTCCCTGGAGGGTCAGATCATTATTTCCATGCTAGCTGCAGGGATGGAGGCACAGAGAGCCACAGGCTGAGGTTTTAGTGGAGGAACCTGGTCTCTGAAAACCCTGCCCTCAAGAGCCGGAGCTGAGCACAGTAAACACTGGCCTGAGTAAGGGCTCCCCACCTATAAGCCCACTGGGGCCCCATCTCTGTGGTCTTATTTGTAGTTTCCCAAGCCCTGGGATCCTGGCTTGGTGTGAGGGTTAGGTCACCTACCTGCAAGCAAGGGTGCCACTCAGTACCCTGACCTAGATGGAGGGAGGTTCTGGCCAATTCTAAGCCTGGCTGACTGTGGGAGCAGAGTCAAGTCCTGTCAAGTCCTCTGGCCTCAGTTCCTCTGTGTTAGTGTGGGAGGGGTGTAAGGATGTTACCAGTGATTCCCTGAAATGCCCTTCCTGCCAGGACTGGGGGCTTTGCCATCACCTGGGCTTCACACCACCTGGCTATGGAGACCTGAGCTGGACCCACTCCTTGTGCCTACATCCTTGTTTGAAGAGAGAACAGCAGCCACCTTCTGGGTGTTTGTGAGATAACTAGCATAGAGGCCAGTAGTGGGCCTGGTGTGTGCAAGGCACGCAGGACAGGCGATCAGATTGTCCAGTCCCCCAGCCCCCACCTCCTGCTCTGAGTTCCTGTCCCTTCCCTTCAGCAGCTCTAGCTTTAAGTCCAGATGTGACCCAGAGCCCCTGCTGCCTGGGGTTCCCATCCCCATCCCCCAGAGCCCTGGTGTGTGCCTCCGTGCAGCCTTTTCCTCTGATTTACATAGACGCATCGGTTCTCCACTTGCTTATAAACCACCCTGCCAGGCAAGGGCTGGGTGATGGCTTTTCTCTCTGTGACATTTTGGTGAACGGCTAACACTTCCTGGGAATGAAGTGGATGCAGACCCAGCCCTTGAGATACTGCCAGTCCCACAGCTAAAAGACCAAACAGGTAATGAGCCCTCCAGTCTCTCCTTCCGTAGGTGGTTCTTGAGTTACTTACTGGGTGCCAGCTGGTAAAACCGATGGTGCTGGACCTTGGCCACCCCAGAACATCCTGGTATCATTGGGCTTCCCATCCCTGGGGGGTGAAGTGGCTCAGATGAGCTGGACCTAAGAGGCCTTGGCAGGAGCTCTTCTGGGTGACTAGTGGTTCTCAAAGTGTACTCCCTGGCCCTGCAGTACCAGCATCTGCTGGAATTTGCTAAAAATGCACACTCGGGCCCCATCCTAGACCTACTGAATCCAGCACTGGGAATGGAGCCCAGCACTGTTTTAACAGCCTCCACGTGGTTCTGATGCTTAAGTTTGAGAGGCCCGGATCTAAGCCATGTTAAATGCTGAATTGGCTCCTGAGGCAGTGCGGTGTTGTGAAGAGTGACTAGGCTGGGCAGGGGCACCACACAGTGGTAAGCATGATGATGGGGGCCAGGGGAAAGACAAGTGTTGGCCTGGCCAAGGCAGTGGCAGGAGGACCAATGGAAGTGGACAGATGCTACTCTGCAGAGGTTGTGGTAGATGGAATGAATGGTGGGCTCTTTGCTGAGATAAGGACCCAGTAGCAGATGGTTGGTGCTTTGGCGTGTGAGCCTGAAGCGTAGGGTTCTTTGTACAGAGGGCAGTGTGGGAGGTGCCCACAGCAATGCAGCCAGCCCCTGGCTCTGTGTGCCCTTGGGTGTCATTTAATCTCCTTGAGCCAAGTGTTCTCATCTGCCAAATGACAAGAATGCTAGCCTGCTTTGAAGAGTGATTATGGTGCCCAGCCCTCAGGCAGGGAGCACCCCCGGGACACACATTCCTGCATCCTCAGCTCAGAAGCCACCATGATGGATTAGCTTCATCTTCACCGATGAGGAAACTCAGGCAAGTTGGAGGTTAACAGACTCACCCAGGGTCTCGCTTTCATCCTGCTGCCATGCTCCCAGTGAGTGTGTGTCCCAAGAAAACCATTCAGAGTGATATGGTTCAAAAACACTATAGATAAATCAAGATGGAACCCTAAAAGATGTTCAAATAACCTTCAAGAAAGAAAAGAGAGCCGAGTGTGGTGGCTCACACCTGTAATTCCAGCACTTTGGGAGGCTGAGGTGGGAGGATCACCTGAGGTCAGGAGTTTAAGACCAGCCTGGCCAATGTGGTGAAACCTCCATCTCTATTAAAAATATAAAAATTTGCCAGGCGGGATGGCGGGTACCTGTAATCCCAGCTACTTGGGAGGCTGAGGCAGGAGAATTGCTTGAACCTGGGAGGTGGAGGTTGTGGTGAGCTGAGATCTCAAACCATTGCACTCCAGCCTGGACAACAGGAGTAAAATTCAGCGCCCCCCCCCCCCCCGCAAAAAAAAAAGTAAGAAAAGAGAAAAGATAACAAACAGAATGTAAGTAACAAAATAGCAGACTTCAGTCTATCCAAAGGGCATGGCTCCTGGCACCTGAGCGCGTTGGGTAGGAAGAGGAAGGTTTTGCTACTAGCAATCTGGAGCAGTGTGGGCAGTGGAGGGGAGTGGCTGGGAGCAACAGGCTGCAGACAGGCTCTGAGTCTGAAAGGCTCCCAGACAAGGGCAAGAGCTCACATAGTAAAGGAGCAGTAAGGGGGCACGGTTTTTTCCAGAGGCTTTGCCACATCTGGCCTAGTCAGGTAGAGCATTTTGAAAGGTCTGAATGAACCTCTGATGTTTATGTATTGAGGACCTATAATGGGTTAGATGAGAGTCTGCTGAGCACCTGGGAGAGAGGCATCAGACAGGAATGCAGTCCTGTGGACCTGGTGTGACACTGCTGAGATAGTATTCAGCATCAAACCCCCGTCATGCCAGCTGGGCGCTGGAGCCAGGTTAGGGCCAGGGGGCTAACTATGTGACCTTAAGCAAGAACCTTCCTCTCTTTGGCCCAAAGTTGCCTGGTCTATAAAATGCAGCTATGGTGGCACCCAGCAGATCCTGGGTATGGCCTGCCCTGTCTGGCCTAATGCCCAACCTGCTGACCCTGTCTTTTGTCTCTTGCTAACGTGGAGCTGCCCTTCCATCTCCCCTTCATCCTGTAGCCCTTTCTCACCCTGCTATTCCACAGCATCATGGGGCTGGTGATCAGGCATGACAGGGCCCTGGTGGGAAGGAACAAGAATGTACATTTTATCTATTAGCTGGCCAGTCTGCCCAGTGCCCCCATGGCTGCCACTTCATCTGGCTTATCATATAGAGAGTGTTTTGACACAGAGTTTGGATTCAGATTTGGGCTAAATCCTAGCTCCTCCCCTTCTGGGCTGTGTGACCTGGGGTAAGTCATTTCCCTCTCTGATCCTATCTCCCTGTTTATCAAATTGGCACAACCACCACATGGACAAGGTGGTGTTGATGAAAGGATTCTGCGTGGAAAGAGAAATATCCTTGACAGATATTTCTAATTCAGCTAACCCCCATCATCTCCAGCCCTAGAAGTACCTTTTCTGACCCAGAGTTGTTCCTGCCTGGCAGGCCAGGGAGACTTCTGGTTAGTGCCAGTTTCCTCAGAGCATTCCTGATGGCTCAGGAAAAGAATAACAGATTTAATTAACTCCCAGTGACTGGCAGCATCATGTTTTTATCTGGGCTGCGTCACCATGGCAGCCTCATGGCAGGGTTGTCGAGGGGGTGGGCAGAGCTATGGTTCCTGCCATTGTCTGTTCTGGAATGCAGGCCAGGAGAAGGGGACTGGCATGGGCACCAAGTGGCACGTGGCTGAAGGCAACCATGGAGTCAGACGGGTGCCATCTGGGGAGAAGTGTGGGGTGGCCCATGGCCTGGCTTCCCCTCAGCTTGGGGCTCAGGATCCCTGTGGTTCTCAAAGTAGAATGTGTGCCTTGGGTGTGCTGAAGGTAGGAGGGTCCGTGGTGCTCTTGGAAGAGGCCCACAAAGTAGCCCAGGCCACAGCACCCTCCCCCACACACAGGCTAGGGTTTTGTGGCCAGGCCTGGGTTCAAATTATGGTTCCACCACCTGCCATTACACAGCCAGTTGTTCCCCACTCCTCATCTTTAAAATACGAATCATTCCAGTTATCCCAAAGGCTTTCGTTCAAACCCATGTGTATAAGGCATTCAGGAATGGCCCAGTTCTGTTCTGTGGGGGCGGTGATCAGTCACCTGCTACCCTTCACTCAGCGTCAGGGCTCCCCCCTACCTACCTCTTAGGGTGCAAGATTCCCCCTCTCACCCCCTCTCCGGCTGTGGAGAGGAGAAAGTGGAACTAGAGATGCCCATCTGGAATGAGTGCAGGACCAGGTGGATATGAAAGACTAGCTTCCGACTCTCATCTACTTTTCCTCCCCTCTGCTGAGAGGGAAAAGGAGACAGCCTGAAGACAGAGGCAGAGCCAAGTGGGGTTGTGCACGGGTAGGAGGCCGGGAAGCGGAGTTGGAGTAGGCAGGGGCGCCCTGGAGGAAAGAGAAAGACTGGCCCGGCGCGCTACGCGCAAAGGCAGGGCCGATGGCACGCAGTACGAGTTGGAGCCACCCGCTGTAGCTCTCCTACGGGAGCGGCGCAGATCCAGAGGACGCGGTGCAGGGCTGGTTCTGGGCTTTGGGCAGCCAGGGCCTGCCAGGCTTCTGCACAGGGTGCCGGCTGGCTGTCTGTAGGGCTCTAGGAGATGTGCCACCCTTTCCCCGCAGCACAGCAACCGCACCGAGACGCCTTTTCAGCGACCTGGTGCGCACAGGCTCCTGAAACCCTTTCGCAGCTAGGGTACCTTCAGCGGGAGGCTGCCGATGGCGAATCTCTCTTGCGGGCTCAGAGTTGGAGTCTGGCCTTTGCGCGCCCCCTGCTGGACCACCTCGGCTCCCCTCGGCGGCGGGGCTCAGATCGGGGAAACCCTACGGAGGAAACCTCGAGCGTGACGTCACTCTCACAGTGACGTCACTAGGCCCCCGGGGAGCGCAGGGTTCCCACGGAGGAGGCTTTCCCCGGACTGCGCAGGGCGCGGGCGGGGGCCGCGGCGCGCCTTCACTGCGCCCTATGTCTGCCCTACAGGTCCCGCGCGGCCCCGGGTGAGGCACGCCCGCGCGCCCGCCGGCGCCATGGGAAGGAGCGGGCGCCGCTGTTGTCGTCCCCCGCCGGCGCGCGCACGACTTGAGACCTGCCACGGGCAGCCCCCGGCCGCGGGTCCCCGAGTGACGCTGGCGGCACCTGAGAGTGTGGCGCGGGCCCGGGGCCACGCAGAGGAGCCCAGTGTCCAGTGAAGCGGCTGAGGACCCGCCGCCCGTGCCGCCGCCATGGTGATGTCCCAGGGCACCTACACATTCCTCACGTGCTTCGCCGGCTTCTGGCTCATCTGGGGTCTCATCGTCCTGCTCTGCTGCTTCTGCAGCTTCCTGCGCCGCCGCCTCAAACGGCGCCAGGAGGAGCGACTGCGCGAGCAGAACCTGCGTGCCCTAGAGCTGGAGCCCCTCGAGCTCGAGGGCAGTCTGGCCGGTAGTCCCCCGGGCCTGGCGCCGCCGCCGCCACCACCGCACCGCAGCCGCCTAGAGGCGCCGGCGCACGCGCACTCGCATTCGCACGTGCACGTGCACCCGCTGCTGCACCACGGGCCCGCGCAGCCGCACCCGCACCCGCACCCGCACCACCACGCGCTCCCGCATCCGCCGCCTCCGCACCTGTCGGTGCCACCGCGGCCCTGGAGCTACCCGCGCCAAGGTGAGTACCGACCTCCGCCATGGGGCGATCCGGGCTGCCGGGGGTGGGCGGGACGTCGGCGCGGGCGACCTCACTGCTTACCTGTGGGGCTTCCACCCGCCGTCCCCGGGAGAACACCGGCGGCGGCGGCGGTCTAATGCCCAGGCTTGGGCTCGGGCTGGGGCTGGGGAGCGGGCGATCCCTGGCCAGAGCCTCTGCGAGAGGCTGGAAACCGCCTCACCCTCTCCGACCACCTCCCACTCCGCAGCGGAATCGGACATGTCCAAACCACCGTGTTACGAAGAAGCGGTGCTGATGGCCGAGCCGCCGCCGCCCTACAGCGAGGTGCTCACGGACACGCGCGGCCTCTACCGCAAGATCGTCACGCCCTTCCTGAGCCGCCGCGACAGCGCGGAGAAACAGGAGCAGCCGCCTCCTAGCTACAAGCCGCTCTTCCTGGACCGGGGCTACAACTCGGCGCTGCACCTGCCCAGTGCCCCTCGGCCCGCTCCGCCCTGCCCAGCCCTCTGCCTACAGGCCGACCGCGGCCGCCGGGTCTTCCCCAGCTGGACCGACTCAGAGCTCAGCAGCCGCGAGCCCCTGGAGCACGGAGCTTGGCGCCTGCCGGTCTCCATCCCCTTGTTCGGGAGGACTACAGCCGTATAGAGGGGCGCCCGGCGCCCCGGGCCCCACCGGCGAACTCCTGGCCTGACTGCGGGGCTTTTTAAATGCTTCCCTGGACTGCGGGGAGGGGCGGGGGGGAGGGAGGGATTTCTTATCCCGTTTGTTACATTTTGAGGATAATAAAGGTGTGTGATCCGGTTTGGTACAAGCGGAGGGTGCGCCCGCTGCTTTCGCCCAGAGTTTTGGCGACAAGCCCGGGACTTGGCGGGAAGAACTCTGAACGTGTGTTTCTGCCAAAAGAGGGCCTAAGGATGCAGCGCTAAGTCTGAGATCAACCTTCCTCGGGCGGTTCTAGGTTCTAGGCGGCTTCACCTGGAAGCCTCAGCCCCCCACCCAGTGTCTGACGGGCCTTGGAATTAGGGTGAAGGCGCCCCCTGGTAGCAGGGAGGTGCTGTGGCCTCGGAGGTGGGAGGAGTTGGGAACCTGGGTTAGGGCAGGCGGCAGCCCAAAGGGATCTGGATTTCTTTATTAACAGACATGAGCACGACCCGTTACAGAAGTTTGTGCTTTCCAAAAAAAAAAAAAAGAAAAAAGAAAAAAAAAAAAAAAAAACAGTTACTGAACGTGAAAAAGGAACCCAAGCAAAGAGGAAGGAGTTTGGGAGGGGCCACCCAAGCCCCTGGGCCCCATCCATAGCCCTGACCTGAACCGCGCCTAGGGCCTCCAGCCTGGGACCTGCCCGGCAGGAGAGGGGGGTGGGTAGCCAAGGGGACCCAGCTGGGCCTGCTACTTCCTTTGGACCAGACAGGGAGAGGTCAAAAGAAGGGTGGGGAGGGGGTCCCAGGGAGCCAGAGCCCACGAGCCATTTATTGCCATGTTTTAAAATTCGTGCAAAATATCTGAAGCCCTGGACAGAGAATACAAAGTGATATTTTTCCAAGAAACATAAAACTAGGAAAAGAGGTGGAGAACATTTTCCCACCAGAGCTCCCCCCACGCCAGGCCCCAAGCAGGGTGAGGCCTCCACCCCGGCCAGCTGAGCAGGGAGGACTAAAACAGCTACAATCTGGACCAGGGAAGGAGAAGTAGAATTTGCAACAGCGTCTCAACTACCAACGGGAGGAAAACCAGTCAACTGTACAAGTCTCCTATCAACTTTAAAAAAAAGAGAAAAGCTGTAAAAGTCAGGCCCTGTGGGTAGGGAAGCGGCCAAGTCCCCAGCCAGGGCCGGAATCCAGAGTGGGTGCCAGGCGGAGCTGCTGCGAATGCAGGCACGGCGGGCCGTCTGGCCAGAGGCCGATGCAGGTGGACGGCCTTGGCAAGGGCAGCCTAGGGCTGGCGCCACTGCTAATCACCACCCTCGAAGCCCTCCTCCTCTTCTGGAACTGGGTCTGCATCCCAGCAGGTGATGTCGATTTCTATGGCATTAGAAGATAAGATGAGTTAGGGACCTAGCCGACCCATGCTTGTGTCCCCAGCCTCTATGGGTGGTGGGTAGTGGTGGGATGGCTGCCCACATTCAAACCCAGCCTCCCCACCGAAATTCTTCCCATCATCCGCCCCATTACTACCTGGAGGCTTGTTGTAGAACACAGGAGGCAGAGCCTTGGCACAGAGCTCTTCCGATTGGGCAAACTCCTCCTCCTGTGATTGACTGAAGTACCCCTCACTGGCCTGCAGGGGAAAGCATCAGGTCACTTGGCCCCACCCAGCAGGACTGGGGCTGACCTATCAGGCCTAAGCCCGTTTCCCCAGCAACCAATGATTCCATCAGTGGTTGCCGGGGAAACACAGATGCCTGCCTTGGGAACAAAAGCAGAGCTAGCCCAGGAAGGGCAGGTGGAATGGACTTCCCCTCCAATAATGTGGGTCACACAGAAAGGGGATACCAGTGCAAGCCTGAGCAATGCAGGATCAGTGCCCTGCTCAGCCTGGACTCACTCTCATCCCTCCCACCAGGCAGCCCCTGCTGCACCTGGGTCCCCTCCTTCTGAGTGGTCTCGCCATTGGTCAGCAGGTGGGGCTCTGGCTCCTGCTCTTGCTCTTGTTCCAGCTCCTCAAGGGCCGAGGGCAGAGTCGGGGCCTGGGGGACGGCCAGGGGCTCCCCTTCTACTTCCTCTGGGTCACAGAAGGTGGCTGGCGGCTCAGGCAGCTCATCAAAGTTGAGAAGGGTGGAACAGCTTTCGCCTGCTGGCAGCAGTGACTCCGGAGCCACCTCATCCAGCAGGGGCACCTCTGCCAGGGTGACCTCAGTACCTGAGGGTGGTGTGGGGGCCCTGGGCTCACCCTGGAGTGAGCCCCCTTCCCCATTGCCAGGCCATAGGTCAATGAGGCTGGTGGTGGCAAGGGGTACATTGTTGGCAACAGTGGTGTCAGCAGTGGCAGTGTCGGTTTTGATGGCGTCAGCTGCATCATGGGCCTCAGCGGTGTCAGCTGTGGCAGGCTCCACAGGGGCAGCTAGGACAGCCTGCTCTGCAGACTCCATGAACATCAAGTCCTCTGCAGGGCTGCCTGGCCCCTGGGGAGGCACCTGTGCCTTGGGGGGCTCCTCCATGGGGCCGGCCCAGGCCTGAGGGTCTGCTGCTCTGGTCTCCTCACTGTCCAGGCTGGGGCTGGGCTCCTGGGTCTCTGTCACAGCACAGGCAGAGGAGTTATGCAATGGGCTCCCTTGAGGGAGGATGGAGACCCTGCCCCATGGACAGTGGTGGTGGTTGTCCAACAATGTGAGGAGGGAGCCAGGGACTTCCATGCAGGTGTCCCACTGCCCCCTTACCCAGTGACCCCAGTGACTTTAAGCCCCTTGGCAGCTCCAGGAGGAAGGCCTGATTCCCACTTAAGAAGTCGGGTGCTGAGCTTTAGAGAGGTCTGACTGCACACCAGGGCTCCTCCCCACACAGCCGCCTCCAGGGCAGTGCAGTCTTAGTGATGGGTGTCCCAGATCCCTGGAGAATGGTTACCATGGCAACCTGGGGCTCTCAGCCAGGGAATGATGATGGGAGCCCTGGTGCAGGTAGGGTCCCTCTCTCACCTTGGGCTGGTGTGGGTGGTGGTGGCAGTGGTGGAGGCTGTGAGGATGTGACCTCATCCAGGGCCCTCTCAATCTGCTCAGCAACAGGGGTGGAGGCGGTGCTGGAGTCAGATGGGCTCCTCGTGGGGATGGGAGTGGGCGCCATCCTCCGGTGGCTGTCTAGGTGGCTGCCTGTGGAACAAACCCCAGGTGGGTCAGTGAGGGTAGGGGAGCCGGGTGGGACAGGACTGTCCACCTTGGGGCCTGGCCAGCACCTCCTCTCTGGAGTCTGGGTGGGGGCTGGGGAGCTCCCCAGCCCCCCCAGGGCCTAGACTACAGCTCCAGACCCTGTGCTAGGCCCCTGGGGACCAGTGCCCCACAGGCACTGTGGTGTCAGCAGTGGCAACAGTGGCTGCCCTGGGGACAGACACCAGAGATCAGCGGTCAGGCTGGGGGATTGAGGGTGGGGGGCTGCTGGGAAGCGGGGCCCTCCTTACCACCCCCGCCGAGGCCTGGGGCTGCTACCTACATGGGAGGGAGGAAGAGAGGTTTGGGGTGCGGTGACAGGTGATATAGGGAAAGGGAGTCCGTGGAGGGGAGGAGGAGGAAGAGGAGGAGGAGGAAGGCCCACTGTCCGATGCCTTTATGAAAGGGCAGTACGGACGACCTGCCGAGAGAGACAGACAGAGAAAGAGACAGAGGACAAGAGAGGGTCAGTCTCCCCCACCCCTGCCAAGGCCTCTCCCGCCCCCAGGGCTGGCCCTGGATGTCCAAGCTGCCTTCAGCCAGGGCGCACTCAGCCAAGCCAGCCGCAGCCTCACACCAGCCCCAGACACACAGCCAGCCTGAGAGCAGCACAGCAGACCTGGCCTGCATCAGGACCCCAGCATGGGGCAAGCACACTCAGGCCAGCAGACAGGGTGGGGAAGAGCTTCAGGGAAGGCAGAAGCAGCACAGTGATAAGCAGAACAGGGACACCTGAGTGCAAGCTCCAGGAGGCTCACTCAGGGCCCAGGCAAGAGCTCAGCCCGCATGCACCCTGGTCTTCCAGGCCAGACCTAGTTCACCCCAGCCTGGCTGCTACCCACGGCCAACGCTGCCCTTCAGGCCCCAGCACTCCCCACTGTTCAGCCACAAGCGACTTCGACACCACCCCTGGCCTTTCTTGGGGTCCTGCCATCTGGGAAGTGGTGGGCGGATGCACGCTGGATGAAGGGTTTCGCCTTCTCCAAGGGTTCCTTGGGCAAGGCTTCCCTTCCAAGAGAGTCCCAGAGAGGCTCAGGGCCATAACCTGAGGAGTGGGATCGGGTGGGGGTGAGGCCTAGGACTACCTGGTCGGTGGTTGAAGGGCGAGGGCACATCACAACTGCCCGCAGAGGCCGATGCGACTCTTTCCTGCTGCTTGAAGAACTCCCGTGGGTTGTCAGGCCGCTGGGCAATAATGGCTGCTGCCTCCTGATGGCACAAGAAAAAGGTTGAGGCTGGGCCAGGCCAGCTGAGGTAGTCCCTGCCCACCTCACCTGGCTGGTGCCCCCGCTTTCACCTCCACCTCTGACTCCGACTTCTTCATGTGGGTCTCTTCCTCCTCATCCCGATGGTCACCCTAGAAACCAAAGGGACAGAGTCTGGTGCACCTACTCCCACAGGGGCTCTTGGTCTTTTTTACTGTATTTTATTTATTTATTTTGTTTTTGAGACAGGTTCTCGCTCTGTCACAGAGGCTGGAGTGCAATGGTGCAATCACAGCTCACTGCAACCTCTGCCTCCTGGGACTCAAGCAATCCTCCCACCTCAGGTTTCTACCACCACACCTAGCTAATTTTAATTTTTTTTTGTAGAGGTGAGGGTCTCCCTATGTTTCCCAGGCTGGTCTCAAACTTCTGGGATGAAGGGATCCTCTTGCCTTAGCCTCCCAAAGTGGTGGGATGGATTACAGTCATGAGCCACCAATGCCCAGCCTTTTGGCCTTCTTACAGCCCCCATGCTTCTTTCGTGATCTGGCAGGAAGGGTCTCAGAGCTGGTACCTCTGCCCCTTGAAACCGAGTCACACAGGCCATCTCGTCCTTCAGGGCCCTTGACCACCTCATCTCTGACCTGCCAGGCCTCTGGGCACCAGGCTCATTCACCTGCTTGCTCATCCCCATATCTAAGCAGGAGCCTAGAGCCATCCAGCAGCGCTCTAAGTTTTGCAGATAACTTT